CAATAGTGCTGTTTTTACATTGTGGAAGCTGCCAGATGAGTTTTGCATCTCCCACTTTCACGTCATTTTTTAGTATGATTTGTTCACATGCTAGCAATGTTCACCAAATTAAAAGGGTGTTTATATTGGGATAGTTTTTAACATTCCGATTTTGAAAAATCATTTTTAATCAATTAATTGATTTGAAATATTTATTTGATTAAAATTATTGTTGAATAAAAAATAATTTAAAAATGTTTGGTTAAAACAATTTTTGAAAATGATATTGATAACAAAATGATTAAAATAAATACATATTACTTTTGTAGTTTTTAATTATATTATTGTGCATTAAATTATTAATACATTATAAATATAACAATACAACATTAAGATTCTATTATTTTTTTTGGTTAAATTAGCTACAATCCTATCATAAATATAATTTATTCGTATTCATGATTTTGTGAACAACGAACACATTGATTAAAAAGTTATTGGTACGTAAATAATTGTGGTGCTTCCATGAAACTACGTACGTATCGCTAAAAACAACTCCTAAATGATTTTTACCTTGACGATTAATTAATGTCCTACTCCAACCCCACACTTCACGGCCTACAGACATGAGCAACCTTTCCAATTTTCACTCCTTCGTGGAAATCACCTCGCAGGCTGGACCCTAACCTATGATTTTTAAAGCCAAATAAGGAACTAAATTAAAAAAAAAAACATAAGAATATATGGTCGACTGGGTCAATTAAAATAAAATATTGTTTTAAGATTTTTTTTTGAAAAAAAATGAAACAACATTCTTTAAAAAAAAATTCAAATTCAAATTTTGTTTTGATTATGTCTATCAATTCTCCAATTTAACCATAAAATCTACTTAGTTACATAGATTAACTTTTACCTAATTTAATTTGAAAATTAATTCAAACTAAAGTATTAATTAATAAATTATTAGATTGATACACCGAACCAAATCAATTTTAATAACACGCTTTTTATATTGGGTTAATAGAGAGCTACCATATGAGCTTTGTTAGTTCACATGCTAGCTATGCTAACCCCTGAAGGTCAAGTTTGTAATGATTTATTAAAGTTTTTTAAAAATGAACACCTCTTACTTTAACCAAATTAAAAGTTTTTTTTTTCTGTTATTGTGTACATTTTTATAGTTGGAGTTCAAAAAAAAAAGCATGTTTAGAAAAATATTTTTAATTATGATTTGTTGATTTAAAATATATATTTAATTAAAATTGTAGTTGAAATTATTATTAAATAAAAAAATTTTCAAAAATATTTGGTTACAATAATTTTTTAAAAGTGATATTAATAAGAAAATGACTATGGTTTCAAATTATATTACCATATATTGAATTATTAATACATTATAAATACAACAACACAACATTAATATCATACTTTTATTGTTTTATTAAACTAATTACTAGAATATAATTCATTAAAAAAAGCCACGGGTAACGATATCAGTTAAGGAATTATTAGTAACAAAATAATTGTGTTGCATCTTGTTTGTATTCTACAATATAACTATTTTATTGCTCTCTCGTTTATGTAACTATTTTTGGTCTCCTAAAGTTTCATAGGTGAAAAAAATAAATAAATGAGAAAACTGCTTTTTTTTTTATTAATGGAACTCATTTATTAATTAGTGCCACCAATTAATTGTATCACTGCTTATTTTTGTTACCAAATACTAAAAAACCGTGGTGATTTAATACGCCAAAGATATTATTTTTAGAGTTTATTTGTTTTTGAGATAACTTTTATGGTTATGATTTTAAAAAAATAAATTTAAAAAAAATATGGTTAGTTGGATTTAGATATATGTTAGGTAAAAATTATGGTTGGAATTTATAAAGAGCAAAAAAACATGTATAAAATATTTGGTTGTGATTGCTTTTCAAAAATGCTTTTTCAAAAACACATCAAAATGATCTAAAAATATAAAAAAATAATTTGAAGAAAAAAAAAAAATAAAAAAATTTTCAAATTTTAAAAAATAATTTTGAAATATAAAAATAAATAGAATTTTACAAAACTCAATTAAAAAAACATGTAAAAATTGCTTCATAAAAATTATATTTCAAACTCAATTTTTTAATAAATCTTATATTATAAAATACAGTTTGGTGCATTACCAAATACTTAACCATGTTTTCTACACCGTAAACACAAAAATTATAGCTAAACAAACGCACCCTAATCCACAAGCATCAAGTCCCTTTCAGGCCAAACTAGCAACCTTAGAACAACCGAATCATCGCGATCGTCGGTCTCTCTTAGGCAACCACACCGCCCCACCTCTCTCTATGACCAGAAGAAACCATTGCTAGATGTTCATGTCTTCTTCTTCTTCTTCTTCTTCTTCTTTCTCTAGACTTGGATGGGATTATGATGTATTTCTAAGTTGTAGAGGTGAAGATACTCACGACAATTTTCTAATAATTGTAAACAACTTTGTAAAGCAAACCACTTTTTAGCAGCTGGATTCAATTAATCAACTCAAGGTACTCCTCCCACCCCACACTTCACGGCCTATAGACTCTAACAATATATGGCTGACCAGGTCAATTAAATTATAATATTGATTTAAGATTTTTTTGAAAAAAATATAAAAAATTATTTAAAAAAAAAATGAAAAATCAAATTAAATCTTGATGGGGTTGATAAATTTAATAATGCCTTTTGATTACGTTGTGGAAGCTACCATATGAGCTTTAGATCTCCCACTTTGACGTCATTTTTTAGTATTATTATTAACTAACAAGCTACCATTTGCCAGCCCCTGATAGTCAAGTTTTTTATTAAAACAACTTTTGAAAACGATTTTGATAATAAAATGATAAATATTCTTTTATAGTTTTGAATTTCATTGTGGTGCATTGAATTATTATCCTATTAAATTAGCTGGGGTGTGGTTGCTATTGTAATTTGAAGTTTTTTTTTAAAAAATATTAAAATAATATATATTTTTTATTTTTTAAAATTAAGTTTAAGTTAATAATAAACGCAGCCCCCTCCCCCCCTCTCATTTTTGAAAACGCAGCTGCCGTCCCCCGGGGTAAACATTCGATGATACTCAAATAGCAGCTGGATTCAATTAATCAAAATGTTCTTAAACTTTGCCCAAAATTCTTCACCGACATGATAACGTTCCCACTATTTTTTTGTGGCCCACGAAGCGTTGTTTTCTTAAAAAGATGCCCCATGAAACTACGTACGTATCGCTAAAAACAACTTCTAAATGATTTTTATGTTAATGACGCCTGAACATTACACCTGTACATTGATTATAAATCCAAAACGTATAAAATTTATGAATAAATGTGCTAATATATTTTATTAAGATTCTAGAATATGCACAAGACAACGCAAAATGAATCATGGTGATTTTTGCCTAGTAGAATATGCTGCAATATTTTACTTCCTAAATGATTTTTACCTTGACGGTTAATTAAGGTCCTACTCCCACCCCACACTTCACGGCCTCTAGACATGAGCAACCTTTCCAATTTTCATTCCTTCTTGGAAATCACCTCGCAAGTTGGACTCTATCCCATGATTGATTTTTAAAGCCAAATAAGGTAATAAATTAAAAAAAACCATAAGAATATTATATGGTTGACTGGGTCAATTAAATTATAATATTGTTTTAAGATTTTGTTTTAAAAATAAAACAATATTATTTAAAACAAATTAAAAATCAAATTTAATGCTGATCGGGTTGATTAATTCTCCAGTTTATCTATAAAAGTCAATTGAACTGAACCAATTAACTTATATTTAATTTAATTTAAAATTTAATTCAAGTTAAATTATTAATTAATAAATTGCTAGGTTATAAGCCTAGCCAAATTTAATAATGCCTTTTTTTAACATTGTGGAAGCTACCATATGAGCTTTAGATCTTCCACTCTCACGTCATGTTTTAGTATTATTATTAACACATGCTACCATGATAGTTTAATTTAAAATTAAAATATTGTTCGAATGATTTGAAGTTTTAACAAAATGAACACTGCTCTCTCTCTCTCTCACGAAATTGAAAGTGTGTTTCAAATTGTGGCAGCTTTTAATCTCGCATTTAAAAGAGTAATTGTTTAAATATTTATTTTTAGTTATAAGTGATTGATTTAAAATCCGGGTTTGTTTTAAATTATAATAAAAATTATTGTTAAATTAAAAGTAATTCAAAAGTTTTTAATTAAAACAACTTCTGAAAGTGGTTTTTCATAATAAAATGACATATATTCCTTTATAGTTTTGAATTTCATTTTGGTGCATTGAATTATTAATATAACATATTTACAGCAATACAACATTAAAATCTTACTTTTATTATCTTATTAAACTAGCTTTAATTTTATCATGTACATAATAAATTTGATAAATTCTCTGTATTCATAACTTTTGAACATTGAACATTTGAACCGCATTAGTTTAAAAATAATCAGGAGCAAAATAATTACTGTGCACATGGTTTGTGTTTTACTGTCTTGTTTGTGTAACAACTATTGAAAAAAAAGTTTATTATGACAGGAATGGTTGTTGTAATAATTTAAAGTGTTTTTTTATCGAAAAATATATTAAAATAATATTTTTTTTATTTTTTAAAAATTTATTTTTAATATCATAATAATAAAACAATCCAAAAAAATAAATTTGTTTTTTAAAAATCAAACTTCACCCGCCTCCATTCAGGTTCTTTCAAAGTTTCAACAGTAAAAAGAAAACAAATTAAAAAACTGGTGTTCAATGTTCAAATGGGTCCCACCCATTTCAACAGTTTCTAATTTATAAATGTATCTCACTAATTCCGCCCCTGCTTCTTTTTATTGCCATTAAAACTAGCACACTCTAGACACACAGCGTCAGCTCCCTTTCAGGCCAAACCAGCAACATCGTCGGTGTCTCTCTCTTCCACACCAGTAACAAGCAACCACACTGCCCCAACTCTATCTCCTACCTTCAGAAACCACTGCTAGATGTTCATGTCTTCCTCTTCCTCTTCCTCTTCCTCTAGACTTGGATGGCCTTATGATGTGTTTCTAAGTTTTAGAGGTGAAGATACTCGCAAGAATTTTACGGATCATCTTTACACTGCTTTACTCCAAGCAGGAATCCATACATTTCGAGATGATAACGAACTTCGTAAAGGAGAAGAAATCTCCTCACACCTCCTCAAAGCAATTCAAGAATCCAAGATTTCGATAGTGGTTTTCTCTAAGGGCTATGCTTCCTCCACTTGGTGTCTTGATGAACTTTCAGAGATTCTTGATTGCAGACAAACAGCTGGTCAGATTGTTCTACCAGTTTTCTATGATATTGATCCTTCTGATATTAGAAAACAGAAAAGGAGTTTTGCTGAAGCCTTTGATAGACATGAAGAACTTTTTAAGGAAGAAATGGAGAAGGTCCAAAAGTGGAGAACAGCTCTTCTGGAGGCTGGAATATTATGTGGGTTTGATCTTCACAGTATCGCAAATGGGTACTTCTTCCTTTCCCTATATCGATCGCACATGCTTATAAATTTTACTCCAATTACATTTTGTAATTTAAACTAGCATCATATTCACTATCTTATTTCCAAATCAGCTTGTGTTTCATTGCTGAGTGATGACTTTCTTTTACTATGCACAGGCATGAATCAAAATTAATTCAAATGATTGTCGAAGAAGTTTTAAGTAAATTGAATCCCAGATACATGAAAGTTGCCACATATCCAGTAGGTATTGATTCTCAGGTCAAAGATATCATTTCCATGTTATGTGTTGGTACAAATGAAGTTCGAATTGTGGGAATCTATGGGATGCCAGGAATAGGCAAGACAACCATAGCAAAAGCTGTTTTTAACCAAATTTGTCATAAATTTGAAGGAAGTAGTTGCCTTTTGAATATCAGTGAGAGGTTAGATCAACACACAGGTCTACTTAAATTAAAAAAACAGCTTCTTCGTGATATTTTGAAGGGATATATTTGGCATTGCAATGATGATGATGAAGGCATCAATCTCATCAAAAGCCGATTTTGTCGTAAAAGGGTACTTGTTATTCTCGACGATGTTGATCAATTGAAACATTTACGTGCATTGGCAGGAGAGCGAGACTGGTTTGGTCCTGGAAGTAGAATAGTAATTACAACTAGAGATGAACGTTTACTCACACGACTTGAAGTGGAAAAAAAATATCACGCAAAAGGACTGAACAATGAGGAGTCTCTTCAACTTTTCAGTTGGCATGCCTTTAAGAGGCCCCATCCAATGAAAGAATATGTTGAGCTGTCTAAAGTTGTTGTTGATTATGTTGATGGAGTTCCATTGGCTCTTGAAGTCCTAGGCTCTAAGTTGTTTAAAAGAAGCATCACTCACTGGAGAAGTTTTATAGAGAAATTGCAAAAACATCTTCCACATCAAATTCAGAGGCAACTTATAACTAGTTTGGATGATTTGGATGGTGAAGTGAAGGGTATGTTCCTTGATATTGCGTGTTTCTTTAATGGTATGGATAAAGATTACGTGGGAAAAATTCTCGATGGTCGAGGTTTTTATCCAGAAATGGGTTTTGATATTCTCGGGGAAAGATCCCTTTTAACAGTCAACAGTGAGAATGAGTTACAGATGAATAATCTCTTACGAGACATGGGAAGGGAGATCATTCATCAAATGGCTCCAAACCATCCCGGAAAGCGTAGCAGACTTTGGCATCCCGAAGATATAATGGACGTACTCGATAAATATTGTTCGGTAATAACTAATTGTTCTTCATTTAGGCAACATTTGATGAAAACTTTTTCCACAGAAACTTTCCCATGATAATAAACTATTGTTTCCTGTTTAATTCTTGCTGTTTTTTAGGGCACAGAAGTAGTGGAGGGTATCGTGCTAGACGCTCAAGCATCAAAAGATGTATTTCCAAGCACATCATTTGCGCCGATGACATCTTTGCAGTTGCTCAAATTAACTGGAGGACGAGTCGGCGGACACTACGAACATATTTCCAAGGCATTGATATGGCTTTGCTGGCATAAATTCTCTTTAAAAACCTTACCACACAAATTTCGATTAGACAGCCTAGTTGTTCTTGACATGCAGCACAGCAACATCAGAGAACTCTGGAAGGAGACCGAGGTATGAAGCAGATGATTAGTCTTTTGTTTCCATAAAATAGTTTGTATTAGTGGAAGTTATGTTTCTATTCCCTTGCTCACTTCGATTTTTTTCTTCTCTTCTGGCTTCGACAGTGTCTAAACAATCTGAAAGTCATCGATCTCAGCAATTCTAGGTTCTATGCTAAAACACCAAACTTCTCTGGACTCCCTAGTTTGGAGAGACTAATTCTAGAAAATTGCACAAGTTTAGCTGATATTCACCAATCTGTTGGAGAATTGAAAAAACTTGTTTTCTTGAATTTAAAGGGATGTTACGAGCTAAAGAAGCTTCCAGAGAGCATTTCTGAGTTGAAATCTCTTGAAACTATGAACCTGGAGCGTTGCTACCGTCTTGAGAAATTGCCAGAGCAATTAGGTAATATGCAAGTCTTAACTGATCTTCTATTAGATGGAACCTACGTTCAGCAACTACCCTCTTCCACTGGAATTTTGAAGAAGCTCAAAAAGTTATTGGTGCGTCGTGTACGCCTTCCGATACGCACGGCACCCCCGTTACCCCCTTCCTTGGAAGAGCTTGTCATCAAGGAAGAGCGACAACCTTTCCTGCCACCCTCCTTCTCTGGTTTAAGCTCATTGACAACACTTGATATTAGTAATCGCTATTTATCTAACAATGATATTTCCATCAATCTTGGGAGTTTATCCTCTCTCCAGGATCTGAATTTGGCAGGAAATGATTTCTCCGAGTTGCCTGCCGGCATTGGCCACCTTGCAAAGCTAGAGAAACTGGACCTGTCACGGTGTCCAAATCTTCTATTTATCTCAGAGACCCCCTCGAGTTTTAAGAGCTTTGGTGGCACGTGATTGCGGATCATTGGAAAAGGTGTCAATTCAGTCAAAAACAGCGCCGGATCTGTTACTGGGTGGCTGTGGAAAACTAGCTGAGATTCAAGGCTTGGAGAGTGTAGAAAACAAACCAGTCATTCGCATGGAAAACTGTCACAATTTGTCAAACAATTTTAAGGGGATTCTTGTTCAGGTTTTGTCCAAGGGAAAGCTTCCTGACATTGCTCTCCCGGGTAGCGATGTACCGCCTTGGTTTATCCAATATCAAAGCGATAGATCTTCCTCAACATTTCGTATACCATCCATTTCAGGTGGTTTGATTCCAGGACTAATTTTTTGGACTGTCTATGCAGCTATTGGAGAGGACAGATGGAGGAGGTGTTCTCTTTTTTCTGCTTCTATCAGAAAAAAGAAAGGTGATGATGAATTGTTTTATACACGACCATGTTTGGACATATCTTCATGGCATGAAGGTGAAGATGCAGATCATTCTTGGGTGATCTATATCCCATTTAGCAGGATTCAAGGTGCAATAGAAGGTGGAGACGAATTGGAAGTGTCTGTCAAGCCAGGCGATAATACTATTGTAAAGAAGTGTGGTGTGCATCCAATTTTTTTATCAAGCAAGTTATAATCGACACCGGACGCATATCAAACTTGTTTTTATTGTATAACTTTATTAAGGAATTAGTTGGATTATATATTAGCTGTATTATATCTTGCCCAATTTCCCCAAAAATCTCCTTCTTCCTTCAAACTTCTAACCTCTCTCTCACTCCAGGATTCTTAACCTAGTTGATCTTCTTGTTAAAACCCTCCTAATCCACTTTTAATGACTTGGATTTGAGAGAAACAAAGAATTTTAGAAGGAAATAAGAAAAATCCACTCTCCCCTCCTGTCACATTGCTGTCGGCCTTATTAGAGATGAGGGAGGGGTCGCTTTTCCTTTTTATTACATAAATACCCCTATCTCGCATATTTATATATTAATCCAGTCAAATCGTCATTTACTGGTGTGTGTGTTTATATTATCAATCTCTATTATTACTCGTCAAGATTCCGTATTATATAAATTGTAGATTTTCATCTTTTAATTTAAATTTGATATAAATTCATTATCTTTTGATTTAAAATCACGTCATTAAACTCATGGATTTAGATTTTCAAGTCAGGGTTTACATAAAATCTGCCATCTTATTCAATTTGGTCTTTCATCTTCTAATTTCTTCAATTACTCTTAATAGCTTCTTAGAAATCATTTTTGCCTTAATTATTCCTGCTTGGGTTTAATTCTTGCTACCAAAGACTTGTTTATTTGACCAATTTTCCATAAATCCATTTTTAATTTTTTTTGCATTTTAAAAAATATTTAAAATCTATTTGTCCTCTTTTTACAATGTTTATAACACAAAACGTTATGAAAATACATTTTCATTTGCAACACTCGCAAGATAATGCTGTCCCCTTTTCAAATGAAATTGAATTTGGCCTTGGAAATCTGCCAGAAATTGCGAGGAACCACGCAGCAAAATCACACGAACGTGGCTGACTGCAAATCCACACCAAGCGAACCACAACAGACTCTAGCACGGATATCGCATGCTTCTTTTGTTGGGGATTCCGGCTCCCCATGAGCAGACAAGTGGTTTTCTTTATTGGAAACTAAGCATGCTGGAACATAATATTTAACGTGATTCAGCAAATCATCTATATTTATGGGAAAGGATCTATATTATAAGAGATAGAAAAAATATACAATACAAATACATGAAAGAGGAGGATCACTTCACTTAAACTTTACTCCCAACTCTCTTACTGCATTTATAGCTACTACCATTGCAGCCCTTTACTTTCTCTCTTGGTTTCTTTACTGCACTCACAATCTCTCTCTCATTTTGCTCTCTCTCTCGGTGCCTTTTTATAGACAATAATGGTGTCAAAACTTCAGCTCTTCTTCAACAAAGGTGGTTGTCAAGTTTAGCTTTTTTTTAATAATGTTGGCTGCCAAGCTTTAACATTTGGAATGGGTGCATATGGTTGGTGCAGCTGCAGCTGTTATATTTGTCAATGGACGGTGCCGTTCATTAATAGTTGATGGATATTAATGGCAACCAACCCGACATCTTTCCCATTATATTGATTTGATGCCGAAATATTTTAATGCTGGTCCGCGGATTGAGAATCTCCAAGAAGTATTAAACAATGTACAATCTTCTGGTCTGGAAACTGAGGTTCATAGAGGACATCGAGCTGAAATTAATGATTTCAAACAAAAAAAATATTGGTGCTGGGAACTTGTACAGTCGAAGGGCAAGAGAATTGATGCTTAGCGTAAGCTAGCTTTGATGAGGTGGAAGCAAAGTCGTTGAGGACATTGATTGGGATGCACCAAGTGTCGAGGGTCCTGAGCTGCTAACAATGTGGTTTGGAGAAAGTGAAGCAAATGTGCGGGAGATATTTGACAAAGCACAGCAGTCAGCTCCTTGTGTGCTTTTCTTTGACGAGCTTGATTCCATTGTTGGCAATGGAGAGGGGGTTCTACCTGCTAATGTTGATAGTTTGCTATCATGGATGTTTGCAGGCCTTTCTAATGGGAAGCAATTACAATCATGGATGATCCTTGCAAACGAAAAGAGAATGCATCAAGGGATGGAAATTCTTCAGAAGGAATTTTACCATCTGCAGAGCCTTTGTCAGACGAAATATAAACATTTAAGCTATGAGCAAGCATTGCAGGCCGTTAAGGATCTCTGCCTTGAAGAAGGTAAGAAGAGAGAGACTAACACACTCTTTGAACATCGAAGCTATGATTCTGTTAATCGGCAGCAGAGAGAGAAGCTTGTTGAGAATGAACATGATGGTTTGTTCATTAGCAGTAGATTTGAGTTAAATGTTATATATCAAACGTTTAAAGTAAGTTGCCGGAAGCCATGTGTTCCTAAGAACGTTGACTTGATAGTTCGTGCACAATATACTCAAGTTTTTAGCGCTGCTAATATCACTGAAATTTGTCTAAATGCCTGCAAATATGCCACTTATAGAAAATATAGAAGAAGGACAGCTAACGGGAACCTACCATAACCTTGAGGCTAAGGTTTTTTTAATGGAGGTGGAATTGTAGCTATCTTATTTAGTGAGATTAGGACTTCTCAGCAAGATTTAGTACATTTAAATTTTAAGTTATCAGATTAGGATTTTTAAATTTAAGTTTAAATATGTTTAAATTTTTTTTCCTATTTAAGTAGAATTTGAAAAAAATCATGAAAAACTTAGTTAAGACTTTCATTAAGTCATTGGAGTCCCGAACTACCTTGACTTTTACTGTGAGATTTACTTTTATCCTTTTTAATTAAGTATTGTGAATCAATTACTTTTTATTAAATAAAATTGTCAGGCTCAAACAATTTCCCAACCCTTGGGCACGCGCTAAAACAAAAGGGAAAGAGAATGAAAAAAAATAAAGGACATTCAAAATATGAATTTTGAAGGACCAAATTGAAAGAAACCAAAGCTTCAAGATCAAAACGAAGAAAAAAAGAAAAAGTCAGGTACCAAGAAGAGAATCCGAAAAAGCTACAGTGCACACGAATAATGAATAAAAATGCATTTTGAATACATAAATAATAAATAAATAAATATTAAGCTACAAATTACTTGGATCAGATTGTTACAAATTGCATTTGAATACACTTAAGAACCAGCTTCTGATTTTTGCCTGTACATGTTTGCAAGAAGCATTTATTTGGCATCCATTGATACCAGGGGTTATTTTAGGATCATACTCTATCAAACACTCAAAGCAAGAGTCCTAATTAATTAAATTATATATTAAAAAACCTGTAATTTCTTTTATATATATTTCTTTTCAGCAGTGTATTAGAACTGATGGCGGGAGAGAAAGAGATCAATGATGAAGAGGGGAGATGTTAAATCCATATATATAGCTAGCTAGTAATGGTCTTTGCTATTTATAACTTAAGAGGATTGTTTGTGATTTAAATTATAGTTGTTAAATTTAGTTTAATCTTATATATTAATCTAAAAAATTTAGGATTTAAAGCTTAATATCATAGATTGAGTTTTTAATTGAACCAAACTTATTATTAATTTGAATAATTTCATTTAATTTAAATAATTTTTTAGTAATTTGACTGACGTAGTTATACTTAATCCAAACTTGATTGAATCATAAAATAAATATTATTGTTGTTGTTAATTTCCAAGGTTTTTTTTTTAAATTTATTTAAAAATAAAAATTAATCTAAAAAAATATATTTTTAATATATTTATATCGTTTTAGCATTTTCAGTCGTATGTCAAAAAAATTTAAATTTTTAAAATTGCTATACGCATCATTTTTATTATCTTAGCTTTGAGTGCATCTAATAGAAGTGTTGCTGGTCCCACACACATGAAACATATTATCTCAATTTTAATTAACTTGTAAAACTTATTCTGAATTTTATTTACTTTCTTGTAATATTAGAATCTAAATATATTTACCAAATCCAATTAAATGGTTATAAAGTTATTTATAAATTGAAGAATGAAGAAGCTTCGCTAATGTCTTCATATGCCAGGCAAAATATGAGGCTAAACTGTTGACACAAGATGAGTCCCTTCAGCTTTTCAGTTGGCATGCCTTTAGGACGATCCATCCACCGGATGATTATGCTGAGCTTTCCAATGATCATGTATTAAAGTGTGCTGGTGGGCTTCCTTTAGCTCTTGAAGTTTTGGGTGCTTCTTTTTCGGAAAAGACAAATCTCTATGGAGAAGTGCTATTGAAAAACTGCGAAAACTCCAGATCATAATGTCGAGGCAAAGCTTATGATAAGTTTTGACGCACTGGATGATGATATACTAAAAAATATATTCCTTGATATTGCATGTTTCTTCGTTGGCAGAAACAAAGAATATGTGTCAACAATCAAGAAATCAATTTAACAATTCTTGTTGACAGGTCTCTTTTAGAAGTTAATTTACAGAATCAATTAAGGATGCATATTCTAGTAAGAGTTGACAGGTCTCTCTTGGAAGTTAATTTACAGAATCAATTAAGGATGCACGATCTAGTAAGACACGTGGGATGATGGGAAGATAGATAGTTTGTCAAATGTGTCCCCAACACTGATGGGGAATCTGACCAATGATGTAATGATATTTATTTTTAGGAGGCCAAGCACATTGACACAATAGTTAACGTGGTTTGAAAAATTACCTACATCCATGGGAAAGTCGATATTATTAGAGATAGAGAAAGAACACAAAACAAATACATAAAGGAGGAGGATTACACCCACTTTCACTCAACTCTAAGCTCACTGCTGCAATAGCAGCAGGGC